CTTCCATCACTGGGGTGTATGAAAAATAATTTACTCTATGCCAATGTTGGCTTCATTGGAAAAAATCACCTCTAAAAATCACCTCCTCAACATACAAAAACAAAATCCCCAAAACTGAGGCATCAAAATGAATCATATTCTTGAAAATCTCCTTTTTCCTCCAGTCACAAAATGGGGCTGGCAATACGTACATGATTCTGGGAAGTCCTTTGGGTAAGAAAATCCTCACAGCATGCAAGATCTTCTCTAAAAAGAGCATTATTTGCCTAGTGATTTGCTTTTATTGTTCTGCTATTAAAAAAAAAAATCTCTACACAAATTTTGGAGCGTTACACTGAGTTTATTTTGAAAAAGAAATTAAAGAATGTTTTTTTCATCTCTGAGCCAGATGGAAAGAAAAAACAAATGTATTCCACCCTAAGAAAGAAAACACATGAGAACTTTCAAAAAAATTTTTAGCCAAGTTATTTTTTTTCTTTTTTCTTTTCAACAAACAGCATGGAAAAAGGGAGGTGGAGATGGTGAATGAACAAACAGGCTCTGGTTTTAGGAAGGCCTGGGTTTTGGGGAATAAGGGTTTTGTCCGTAAGGCACTGTCCTTTCCCATCTACAGCTACCCAGACTACCTCTGAGCATGGGTAAGCACCGGGAGCCTCTTCCTCCCGCTCCTGCCCTGGCCCTGGGAGGAGCGGGGCACCCCAGGGAGAGGGAGAGCCAGGCATGGGCGGCTGTCCCACGGCTGGTCCCTCACCGGTGTCAGCCCTGATGCCTGCTCCAGGGGCAGCTGGGCATCCACAGAGGAGCAAACATCTCCAGGGTGCACAGAGGCACCCGCAGAAGTAAGGGGAGAAAAAGCAATGCAAGTCTGGAGGCTGGGGCTGGAGACATTTTATTCCCTTTGGATATTACATCTGAGTCAGACACTGTGCTTTTAACCAAGGAAGCTGCACTGGGGAAAAGTGGTTTTGTTTTCTCACACGTGAATCGACTCAGCCGCCTTTCCCCTACTCGCTGCAGAGCTGCCCTCCGACCAGCTCCTCGCCTCGCCAGTGATCAGACACCAGTTCCTGCTACTTGCTAAAAACAGAGGAGCTACTTGCCAGGAACAGAAAATTAAAAGAGGAGGTCAGCCATCTGAGAGAGAGACAAATAGCAAGATCAGACTAGCCATTATGAACAGCTGATTTAAGCTAGATGCAATAATGGCTAATCTAGGGACTGATCCTGCTCTACTCAAGACACCCTTCACTCGGGGACCCTTCTGAGGTGCTTTGCGTGCTAGGACAGTGAACTGCAAGAGGGAGTTCTTGCTGCTTAAGACCTTAAAGGTTTTGTTCAGCTCAGACTTGTAAAACCAAGTTTCTAGCACCTAGGTGCTGCAAGAGCAATACACTAAAACTGCAATTAAGGGATAAAATAGCCACAGTCATGCATAGAACCAGGACAGCGTAAGTGAGAAAGAAGGCTTTAATGAAAATACTTTTAATCAGTTTGATTTTTAATACCTATGAATGCTTCTGGCTCCACATCTCTCTGATCTCCACATCTCTCTTGGTTACACAAGCACACACAAAGTAAACAACATTCACTTCCATGTCTCCGCTTAGTGCTTCCTTTATTGGAACATTTGCAGGTATTATTTATAGACATCAAAGGGGATGAGAGTTTGAGATTTATAAGCTCTAATCAACTGAAGGTGTTTCCAAATAAATTAATGAAACAAATCAGAAATGACATTAAGAAATTCAGCACTGGATGTAAATCACAATGACTTTGCACCCTCTCTGCCTCCCCCTCCCCTTCTTGCAACAGTCCCAGTGCTTGCCAGGGTATATGAAGTTGCGTTTAGTTAGATGTGAAACAAGAAAAAGGATGATGGAAATGTGTACTCAGTATGCCAAGTTACAGTATTTGTGCATAAGAAGAAAGCCAAAACTTGAGCTGGGACAAAATAATTTCCTGTCACTTAAAACTTTCCATACAACCTGCGTTATCGCTCAAACCATACAGAAAGCAGATTTAAGGGGAATGTTTTCCAGACCCCGTGTGGCAGTTCTGACTTTCGTGACAATTTCTTGGCCCTTTCTGGTGTCCTGCTTGCATCCCTGCCAATCTCTCCTTTCTCTGATAGGTTCCTGAGATGTCTTAACACTTTCCCAGTTCGCCCAGTGATTTCGTTTGACACCTCCGTTTCCCTCCCGCAGGAATACTGGGTCAGAAGGATGGGCTGTCTCAGCCTGCCTGGCTGCTCGGGCCAGATTTAAAGGATGACCAGACTCGCCAGGCACGCAACTGCAGCATCCCTCTCCAGCCAGTTTTGCTTGACAGCCACGCTCTTTGCTTCAAAGCTGTCAACAGAGAGCTTGAGCTCAGGCATGTTTCATTTCTCAGTTACAGGTGGATAATTAGAGTGTTATTATAGATAACTACAACCCAGCATTGAAATTCACTTTGAAATGAATATTTAATTCATAAACATGATGCATCCTTAAACTGTCCTAGCTCAATGGTTATTTCCATGCTAAGGCCACCCAACTTCCCACAGTTTAGCATAGCTGCTGTGCTAGTTTTCAATGAACCAAGCATCTATCGCTGATAAACAGCCATTTCCGTAACCTTATGCAGGCCTAAGCGCAGCTATAGCTGTTGCTCATCACTGTGCAGAAAACCTCTTTGGAGGGACTGGAGGACACTAGATGATTCCTGGAGCATCTCATCCCAATATGTACCATCACTGCTATTGCTGAAGGAAGAGAAGGATGAAATTGGGGCAAGGAAGCAGTACAGCTGGGGCTTACACAGAGATTTCTCATTAACTTCGCTTGTCGGCAGAAGTCTATCACATCAGTGAAAAGCAGAAAGAACGTTATTTAACATGGCAGATGCTCACAATGGGCTTATTTCAAAAGCAGCAGTGCTTCAAATTCAGTGTGGCTCTGCAAAGCTCCACTCACCAGGGTTTGTGAGGCTCTCTGGGCATGCAAAGTAATAGTTTTGTACCTTGTTATCCAAAAGTAGCAGTTTAACGGTATCTCCACAGACACTGTGTAAATATATATGTAAACACTATAGTGTGTATCTACACACAACTCCTAGGTACAGCATGACAGGGCGTATGGCAGAATCATGTTGTATTCAAAACCTGATGAAAAAGCCAAAAGAGTCGTCTCAGGAAATCCAGACTGTCTGAAGAAAAGCCCTGCCTCCAAGATGGTGACACATGGTTTCTGCAGCTGTAATGCACAGACTTTTCACTTTTAATTACACGTACGCACTTTTCATGTTGTTCCTGTCTCATATCTAATATATACCACAGGACAGATTCCTAAATGTAATACTTTGTGTATTTTCTTTAAGAAAATTACAGTGAAAATTAAAAAGCCACCCCCCCTGAATGAACACTGGAGGGAGTGTGGGATATAGGAAAGCAGCAGTCTTTAATTGGATGGTCTTAGGAGCGATATTTGAAAGTCTGAAGTACAAAAATCTTGTCTCTTTCCAACAGCGCTGGAGTCTTTCAACAAACTTATCTGCATTCAGCCAAGGTAAACGGCAGGTCAGGAGGCAATGGAAAAACAATTCTCCTTCCCAAGAAGTCAAAACAACTTCCTTCATCGTGTAGCGTGTGGCCGTGCAGAGTATAAAAACTGGGAATCAAAACCAGGGTTTCTGCTAATGAACTTTAACTGGTTGCTAATTTTTTTAATTCCTGATAACTAGCACTGCTGCCTAGACAATGGCTCATGAGACCGTGGAGGAAACTGGCTGGGTGATGATATCATCTCACTAGCCACACTGCTTTCTGTTTTGCAGCATATTTTATTTTCTAGTTTGTTTGGGAGAGAAGTAGTGGTCCAAGAAAACAGAGAGATTGAGTTACAAAGCACTTTGGAGAAGTGCAAGTTGATTGAATTTTCTGAGTATGGCATGTTTTTCTTACCAAATTTTGAAATCTGTCTTAAAAAGAAACATATTTCAGTGTGCGCAGCTCCTTTGGTTCTGTTTTCATAAAATCCTTCATCTGGCCTTGACTTGCAATATGGGTAGCACCTACTGGGGTAGAATTCCTCACGAGAAGGGAGAAGGAATGAAAACATTTCAAAATCTTTCCTAAAAGTTGGTGATTTACTTCTGCGGCATTTTCTCATGAGTAGAAGGCAGGAAAGCAGGCAGGCTGGCAGGAAGGAAGGAAGGGAGGAAGGAAAAGCTTTTATTAACATGGTCTTTGCATAGTACCCCCATGGCACGCTGGCTGTGATCAGAGCTATAATGAGTATCTAGTCCTTAGTCAACTTAATTGTTACACACGCAGACTAGAGTGCATACAATAAGGAAAACACTATCTAAAATCTGCTTTAAAAGTTATTTAACCAGAACAAATCATCTGCAAAAGTACAAATATTTCTAACTGGAAAAATATTTCTCTATAGCTGAGCTAGGCCTGACAGCAAACCTTAATGAATTATTAGTACCTTTATTGTTTTCTTTGGCCCCTGTGCACTATATTTGTAAAAAAAGTCAGTAAAAAAGAGAACAATTGTAAAAAGCAAATATTTTGTACAAAAATACAAAGTTTTAAAAGCTCTTAAAAGTATATTCCATATTATTGATAGGAGTTGGACTATATATATATATTTATATAAAATCTATATATTCGTGTATCTGTATAATTTTCCTACATTTGGGATTTTAGCAAATGAAACATACTGTTTACACAGTTGCTTTATATGGTTTTCTATATGAGTGGCCAACAGTCTTACTCGGATTGACAGAATGTCTTTTCTCAGAAGACACAAGTTGCTTATGTCTGTGGCTACTGGTTGAGAAGAAAATGTGTAACAGAATTAGTCCAACGGTATTTCCTGATGCTGTGGGTTCAAAGGCCTCGAATAATTGCAGGATGCTGGAAAAGAGTTGCTGCTGAATTCCTTTATGCATTTAAACCAGTTTTCAGTGCTTGCTTTTGTTTTGTTGTGTTTTGTTTTTTTTTTATAATTTCGGTAGGCAATGTTGCTCTCTCCCAGGATTTTTTTTCTTCTTTAAGTAAATATCCATAATATGTAGGTATCTGTAAAGTCACAGCCTATTACACTCCAAATATTTGCCCTACAGTATGGGAGAAAAAAAGAAAAACAAAGAGGAAAAAAAAAATCAGGTAAAGAACCTGTAGAGGTTAAATGCATTTCCAAAAAGAAAACTTAAGAGATCCAAGGTATGTAAAAAATCTAAGTGGACTCATATTCAGATCCTGTAGGTCCTGCAGGATAAATATTTGTAAAACATGAAGTTTTCCTAAAATAACAAATGTATGTAGGAAAACGAGGGCAAATTACATTGTTACTTACACACGGTCCTTCACTCCGGACATCCAAACAGAGCTATACACACACAGCGCTTGTTCAGCACTTTTTTGTTTTGTTTTGTTTTAGGAGGGCTTGTTCAGCACTTTGTTTTGTTTCTGTGGATGGGATGTAATTTTGGCTCTAGCTGACATTTCCGTCTGCCTTCACTGAAATTCAGCCTACAGGTTTGCAACTGGAGTAGTCAGGCACCCTTGGCAAAGCAATGTTTAAACAGGTTGCATGGAGGAGATGATAATGTTTTGGGCAGAGCCCTACCGTGAACACAAATACCACCTATCTCTGTGATGATGGGGCCGGGCTCTAAGCGGCCACGTGAACCACCTGCCCTCTGCCATGGCAGAAATGCCTGTATAACCAGAAAGAGATGCCTTGTGGCAATCACCTGGGTGACTGCTGGGCCACGTTGGCAGTTTATGAGTCCTTCACTCCAACTGCAACAGATGAGTTGCTTGTGGCCTGTGGACCTGGCCTTATAGTCCTGTGGGACATCTCCTGGCAGTGGTGGGAATTTTAAGACCTCCTTAGCAGTCACCAAGTGCCTCCTGTTGCAAAAACTCTCAAAACAGAGTCTTTTTGGTTTTTGAAAGCTGGTCCCTGAGCCATCCTAAGGTGAGCTTTCCCCCTTGTGTGGCCATTGAGTCTGTAAAACCAGCTTCCAGTGTGCCTAGGGTCTGGAGCACGTGGCAAATCATACCTAAATTTTTAGGCATGTTTAAAGTCTACAGGAGATGGTCAGGACGCAAAGCATACCATGGCTACAGCCAGCTTGGAGGCTGCTCTTTCCAAGCGCCATAAATCCAGCATCCGTATCACGCAGAGTACTAGAAAAGTGCATGCTGGGCTGGATCTGAGGAGAAGTACTCCACGTGTGATTCCTCCTCATCCTCAACAAGGCACTGCCACAGCATCTGGCCCAGATCTTCTCCCCTCTAGCTGTGGAAAATTTACTATGGGTCGGGTGAAATAATCAAACCAAGCGCCTTGCTTACCTTTGTCCATGTCTTTTTCACAAATGAAATTGTTAACCTCTTCACAGTAGAAGTCATTCCAGAGCCCAGCATAGATCAACCCAGCACAATCTTCCCCTGGCCCATGCCCGTGGCTCCAGTTATCAGGTTGCCCGGTTTTCCAGTTTCTTTCAACCAAAAAGCAAGAGAGACGATTGCACAACACAGCACACATGACAGTTTTTCACCGCAAGAAATTAACAAAAACATCATGAGATCTGTTCTGAATGGGAAATACACGGTGAAACAAACAATACATGACTCTTGCTGAAAATGGAAACCAGATGTATTACAGCAAAGGGAATCTATTCAGCCTCGCGCTGCCAAAACTCAGAGACCTAAAATTAGACCGATGAACTTTATTTTAGTTTCTGAATGTACATGCACATACAGTGGGAGTGTTCCACGCTCCATGTGCATTGCTCCAAGCCTAAAAAGCCTGCGCATTGTGGTCCTGCCGGCAGATGCGACTGAGGAGAGCCCGCAGGCTCTGCCACCGCTCACTGCAAAGGCGCTCAGCCTTCTGACGGCACCCAGGTGGGCCTCTTGGGAGGAACAGCAAAGATTTATGGACCCATGCTTGGATGGGAAGTGAATTTTTGGACTTACAAGGAATGTACAAAGTATATATAGACGTATCTTTTGAGATCGTTAGCTTTGGTGGTGAAACTTAACGCAGCATGTGAAAAGCCTGAAGCAAGTGTTTCCTCATCCTGTTTTGGAAATGCTTCCAACCTCAGGACTTAAAAGCTCCATTTTCCTGAAGAAACAGGTTGTTGAAGGGAGCTTGTGATTGCTGGCTGATACAGTCCATACTCAGCTGAAAAACACACCTGCCCGACACAGAGCGTCTGACCAGGCACCTGGGAGGACACACAGCTTTCCAGAAGTAATGAATTACTTTGAAAATCAGTAACTGATAGCTCTGAGGTTACGACAGGGAATCTAAAACAGCGGTGTAGTGGAAACCTATTGAAAGCAGTGGCTGAAGTGGGAATCAGTCACAGTGCTGCCCTAAAGAGAAAGAAAGATGAAAACGGGGAGGGAGAAAAAGGGAAAAATATTATGGCTCATCTGAAATGCATCTGACTTTTTCCATGTTTCTCATCAAAATGAGCACCTATGAGATCACAGCTAATCATTTTGTAACATCTGACTGCCTGTAGCCTGTTTTTCTGGAGCACAGCATGCTCAGCTCTATAAACTCTTTAGTCTACTCCTCAGTATTAAAAATTTGGGTGGTTGCAATCTGTTCCATTTAGGACAAATTAGGTGTAGCCCTACGATTCCTGGAGAGCTGCCAGTTCAGTTCTCAGCTGGCCAAAGCGTAGACATCCTCATTTCAGGCATTGTCCTTATGTTTGATGCCTTCCACTTGGATTTGGGCTTTATCTGAAGGTTGGTCATTTTTTTATCAGAACGAGCACTCTATTTATAGATGGTTGTAATGCAAATAGGGAAAACTCAAACCAAGACAGCAAAACTGTCTGTGCTTTCCATCTCAACTTTGTAAAAAAAGTCAGGAGCAAATGCTTTGGCAAGAAACACTGTGCTGTGTAGTTATGTGATTCTTTCATTCAACATTCAGTTTTCTTCCTGGCAGGGAAAGAAAAAACCAGTTCAACAGCACCCTCAGTAACGAATTATTTGCCTTGTGCATGGAGAAGTGAGAGAGAAAAAAACAATTCAACAGCACCCTCAGTAACGAATTATTTAATTGACATCTACAGCCCTCTGGATCCACTGGATAATTTCTAGATGCTGCTTTTAGAAGTGTCAGCAAGAGTGGTAGCATCTGCAGAAAATAAACACCATTGCTTTTTATTTACGTACGTGTAAACTGGTAAAGATCCATCCAGCCATCTCCATTCATTTTCCTTCTCTGAATCCGTTAGTCCAATCCAGAAGCTGCCTTTCCCCAAAATCTGCCTTTTTATCCATTGCTGTGGAAGAAAGGTCTTAGTCCGTAACAAACAAACACAACTGTCTTTAGAGCCAACAAGCTACTCTGGTCTCGTGAGCATCTTTGTTATCAGAATAGGAGGGGCCAGAGAAATTTTTCTAAGCTGAAGATATCTTTCAGGAGTTGGCTTTGTGACCCCTTGCCCACACTAGAATCCATTGCAATGTTTGTATGTGAGGTAGAGAGAGCTAGGCATGAAAATTAGGTTGACATAAAGTTACAGCCAACGTCTTACAGATACAAATTGAAAAAAACCCCAAAAAGTAAGCAGTTGTATCTTGATGTCCCCACTGCTATGTAGCCACCAAATAATTGTGTTGAACAGTAGTAAAAGTATGGCTAGATTTATAGTTAGATTAAAAATATTTTTGGGTCACAGTAGTCTTAGGCTGCATGTATTAAATCAGACAATTTAAAATTAAATTATTTCCATTTACCACTACAAAAAATACACTTTGGATAACATGCAAGGCATAATGGACCCCATCTTTAAAGGTTCAAAATTCCTACAATTCTTGCCAGCCTTTCTGGCTGCTCTGTGCTCACCACCTTCAGGGTCAGCACCAGCTCTGCTCACACTGCCCTTCTGCACATGGAGAAGCTGCTGAGCAGGCAGAGGGTGGACAAACTGCTAACTGGAGTCAATCACTGTGTCTGCTTCACTCCATGAATTCACAGTGCTCTCAGGTTCTCACTTGCCTTGTGGCTTCCACATGTTACTCAAACTCTCTCCTTGAAAAACAGAAAGAGAAGGTAAATTACCTGCTCCTCTTTGTTGTTTATGATAACCAAGCGTGACGCCTTCTCTTCACAGAATAACTTTGCATCTTCAAAAATTTCTCTTTCATTTGAAAAGTAGTAGCACTTTTCTGTATAGTTCTTCCAGTGAGGAGAACAACCTGTGACGTGAATTTTTTGTGTTAAGCCAGTTACTGGTAACTCAACAGGCCAGTGGTAACTTTCTGCATAGGGCCAATAATAAGTGGAGGATCCCATACCCATCTACAGCAGCTGCCACCTAAAATACATATAGTCTGGGAATTTACTTATTCGGATCCTGTGTCTGTGAAATCAAGGCTAAACTGTGTGGTCAAGGGGATTATTTATTATTCGTACTACCACCACCTTTTCTTTCACCATAAACATTAACTTAAATCAGTTTCAGGTCATCAGAAGGAAGACCAACAGGTATGGCTTCACTTAACAGGGATCTTTGTGATAAATCCCAGAGATTTAGTCTTAAGGTAGCAGAGGTTATCTGAACCAGTAACTAAGTGGTGAGCATCCTCCGCTACATACATTTGTATCTCAGTAAAAGACGCATGCGATGTGTTGATAGCTTACCGTTAGCCTCGGGCACTGATGTAGGTTCACTTTGTAGTGCCACTGGCATCCCTGGACCTGGTGGGCCTGGTAGACCAGGTGGGCCCTTTGGACCAGGCAGCCCAGGGATTCCAGGTAGCCCAGGTAGTCCTCGAGGTCCTGGTACCCCTGGCTCTCCCACAGTTCCTTGCAGGCCTTGAAATCCTGGTGGGCCTTGTGGCCCAGGTGGACCATCTTTGCCTTGTGGACCTGGTGGCCCCGGGTCTCCACTTGGTCCAGGGAGACCCGTCTTGCCTGGAGAACCTCTCTGACCTTTGGAGCCAGGCGATCCTCTTGATCCTTTCCCTCCTTTTTCTCCTGGTGGCCCAGCTGGTCCAGGGGGGCCCTTCTCACCTGCAGGTCCTGGTGGTCCAGGCTCTCCTTTCTCTCCTTTTTGTCCTTTGAGGCCAGCGGGGCCAAGAGGACCTTGAGGGCCTCTGTCACCTTTAGGTCCCCTTGGACCAGGAGGGCCTGAAACAACGTAAGCATGCAAAGTGGGGATATGGACAGAAAACAAAACAAAAAGCCCACGTGGGGTCCTTGTTTAACATATCTCAGACCAGCAACACTGGATATTCAGCACTGTGAAGAGGAGGCTGAGGAGAAACCAGCTCCCAGGCAACCAGTGACAGGACAAGAGGGCACAGTCTGAAACTGCGCCAGGGGAAGTTCAGGCTGGAAATGAGGAGGCATTTCTTCACAGAAAGGGTCATTAGGCATTGGAATGGGCTGCCCAGGGAGGTGGTGGAGTCACCATCCCAGGAGGGGTTTAAGAAAAGACTGGACATGCCATGGTCTAGTTGACATGGTGGTGTTAGAGCAAAGGTTGGACTCGATGATCCCAGAGGTCTCTTCCAACCAAACTGATTCTGTGATTCTGTGAAAACCAGGCTAACAGCTACTTTGAGCAGTGCTTGTAAACGTACATCTGCTTCTCAGGTGCTGTATACCATTGCTCTTTCCTCAGCCTTCATGAAATACAGGAACAGAAGAAAATAATCTGATGCACCTTGTCCTGTGAACTGGACAGTGACCCCATGCCCCAGGTGACCAGCTGAGGTGCCAGTCCCTGCAGGACACGCTCCGTGCTGTTGATGCACGCGGTCCCACGTGGTGATGCTCCCGTTGCCTCACTCTGCTATGCTCCCTTTTCCTTCTAGCCCCACCTCTCTGCTCTTAGACTACAGGACTCTTTCTCCTGTAATGACCCTGTTTGCTGCTCTGTCAGTAACGGGTTGTCAAAAAGAGACAATGTGATGGATAGCGAGCTCCCCTCCTCCCTGTCTGGCAACCTACATCATTTAAACTCCTCCAGAGATAAATTCCTAAACTGGAGTCATCTAGGCCTGGTTGCAATGAGAAAGGTTAAGGTTACTGACATGTAATCTTGGCTCTAATTCAGCCTTAATTTATTTGGAGCAACAGCTTTATATTTGTGATTAGCTTTAGGCCTGACTGTTTCACATCAGGTTGGAAATACGAGTGTTCTTTTCATTTGGGATAATACTTGGCTGGGACAAACCTCCTAAACTTGATGCTATTTATTTCTGGAGAAAATAAAATATCCCAGGATTAAAAACTAAGCAAAGTAGGATGTTTTCTGGCAGACTTAACAACTGGCTTAAAGTGAAATAGCAACTTGTTTTTCGGTAAGGGTGGACCTTTCTGGGAATAGTCCAACATATATTTTTTAGCCATTTCCTCCTTAGCAGGGATTGGTTTCTTGAGGTTCCACACCTTCACTAGCTTATTTTAGAAAGTAAATCAAAAGCAGATCCAGTCAGTAGGTCAGTCAGAATAAGATTTTGCTAAGTCAGAACCTTCTTTCATAACATCCCCATTCTAGCTATGTAAAGAAGGCATAGGAAAATTAGTAAGGAAAATTCAAGCTACATTGTCATTTCCAAAATTTAGGAATAGACAATGGAAAACCCCAGGACTCTGTACCAGCATGCACTAACTTCCACAGAACTAAAGAAGTAATGTAAGCAGGAATTTGGCATAGACCATTATAGGCATCATTAGGGAAGCTGCATACCTTGTAGGATAGTGAAGTTCTTGATGAGCTGGCCATGTTTGGAATCTACCAGCTTCATTTCTTCCATGATCACCGACAAATTGGCAACTTCAACATCTAACCTCGACCTCATCAAATCCTGTTGCATCTTGAGAGATGCAGAGTCTAAGCGAATATTGGCTAGTGTGCTGTTCATAAAAATCAGCTCATCTGAATGTTTACTTAAGGTGTCTGTACAAGTTGTCCTGACCTCATTGAGATTGCTAGTCAGTGTCCGTAGATGATGAGCAGTGTAGCTGATGTTGCTAATGATATTAACTATGTCAGTTTCAAAGACCTGGAATCTCTCTTCTAGCTGGTTGAATTTGGCAGAAGTTCTGTTTTCATATTCTTTATGCTGTTCCTGGAGATCCTTTAGATTTTGTTCATTGGCTTGGGCAATTGTGGTGATGTTCTCCATTTGCCCACTGAAGGAGTTGAGTTGATTGTTCATGTCTTCAAGTGTATCATTGTTAGCTTTTGCCAATGCTGAGTTGTTGGCAGCCAAAGTCTGTAAATTTTGTACTTTCTCCTTAAGCCAGTCGGTGTCTTTCCGGGCTTGAAGGACAACCTGCTGCAGACTTTGAAAATCATTCTTGATTCTTAGAATAGCCAAGCTTGTATCTTCCATTGACTTCTGCAGGACACTGATAAGATTTCTTTGCTGTATTTGTGTCAGGTTTAAGTTGTTCAGGTTCATGATGACCACATTATGAGAATGCACTTGGTTTTGCAAGTTTGTTTGGATATTACTTGTGTCTTGTTGAAGATTGTTGATATAGCCGGTATATGCCTGAAGAGTCTTATTGACACTGATGATCATGAAAGAGTTACTATCTAAGGCACTTCTCATTTGGCTCTGCCTATCATCTAATAGATTTCCAGACTCTTGCAGCTTCTCCAGTGTATCTTTGTTTCTGGTAGTTTTCTCTGCAATGTCATGAAGCTGCTGACGAAGAGCCAGAATGTCAGATCTGAAGCTAGACAGTTCAGTGTTAGTATTCATGGCTTTTTGCCCAGCTTGGTCATCTGTTGTACAGGAAAAAAAATTGAAAAGCTTTAGGATGAGTTTTTAAAAACACAGTATAAAAAAACACAGTGTATTTTAAGTACAGTCAGGTGGTGAAAATGTTCTGTCAATAGAACTTCTATGCTATCTTTTTCCAGAAAAAGATACTTTTTTGGAAGTATCCACTTCAGAGTGGATAGTATCACTAGACAGAGAAAAAATCAAAGAGGAATCAATGAAGAGCTTGTGCCTTGCTGAGGAGGACAAAATGGTGATTCTATCATCATATATGGGAAAAACTACCATTAGAAACTGAAGAGTATAAGCAGTCAATTTGAACGGAATTCAAAATATTAAAGAGGTATCAGTAAGTGTATGTTTTGAAGTGACAACTAGATTTTGCTGAAAGCTCAGAAGTAAATTTTAGCTGTTCACATTTTCTTCCTCCTTTTCCTGGCAGGTGGAGTATCTTCGTTGTGATTTAGTGCATATAGCTCAATTTTTTTAAATCTTGGATTTAGTTTTAAAAAGGCTCTAATACCTATTTTTAAACAATCTGGGTTAGAGCCAAAAGCTTTTCCAGCAGGCTACTCCAGATATGACAGGATATGATGTATTTCTGTTTTTCTCTCTAATATATTACTATTGCTTTTAATGACATTTATTTTGCTGTTATTGTTTCCTCATGTTCTGAGTTTGAGGAAGGCAAAACCTTTAATCTTTGAGGAACATCCTGCTCTTGCTTACACTGCCCTACATACTACTTCTGGAAGCTTGTCTGAGTATGATTAAGCTTGTGAGGCTGCACAGCTCATCAGCCAGGACATAGAAACCAAGGAAATAAGCAGTCAACACTCACTTTCAGGGAAGAATCCTTTTCTTGACCTCAATCACTTCCCTCTTCTACATGCAGCCCATATATTTTTGTCCTCATCTAAGGGTGGCTATATTTATGAATTATGCAGTCTGAAGTCCATCATTTCAGATGACTCCAAGAGAGAGCAGGATGGTTTTCATAAACTACAGTGAATACAGCTGCGTATGGAGCCGCCTTCTGGTCTGTTTGAACGAGTCATGATGGTGAACATCAAATGGTGGCTTGTGAGACTTCAGTCTGAAGTGTTTACCAGGTCTTCTGTGGATGGACATCTTCCTGAGCAGAGTTCCTCTCCGTGCACTTGTCTCACTCCAGGATCTTCTCAGCTCTGACTCTCTGTTTACCTCTCGGTTATAGCTCAAATCATATTGTGCTCCTGACACAGCTCTGACAACTGCCAGGTCCACATACAGCTAATCCCTGAGGGCCTGTCTTTCACTCACCCCATGCTGTTATCCTTCTGGCTCTACAGCAGTTCTCTTACCTTGATGCCTCCCATACACATTGCCCCGTAACTTTTTTAACTTCCTTCATGACAAGTCCACTTAAATGGGAACTGCCGGTCCTGAGCATCTCACTAGCCATCCATTCAGCAGCATGTACAAATGTGTGGGCGTGAATGACTCAAAGGTGCTCCATTTTGTGCAATTTTAATCAGCATAATATAATACCCCAAATATAACCCGAAAAGTTGCATGTGCTTTAAGGTGTAACATTTACTTCTGTGTATATGTCAGTAAATCAGTACATGTCCCTGAATTACCCCATGTCTTTGAACTATACGCAGTGTGCAAATACTTCAGAATCCAGCTTTTTTTTAGGGGGAAAAAGTTGTAAAAATTTATGATCAAGGTGCAAGCAAGTCATTTTTCCTAGAAATACACATCTCAATATATGGTTTATGAAGCTAAACAAAATTTATTTCAAGAAGCACATGCATGTATATGTATATTAGTATTTATATAAAAAATAATTTTATAAACTGTAAGTCTATGTATCTATAAATTGATAATAAACAGCTCTGCTTCCTTTCCAGACAATGAAGAAAGGTAGAAATGTATGCTTAGTGAGTAGAATCCTTATCCATGATCTTTTTCCATCTTCCTGCAAATTGAAAACTGTGATAGCACTTGGGAGAACTGAACTCATAACAACCTTGTGTCCTGTATTCCCTCAGATAATTAAGAAACATTTTATGGAAGTAATCAGCTTGCCTCAGACATAAGAGTTTTGAACAGCTGATTATTTGCGCACCCCTTAAAATGGCCTTCAGTTTTGAACTTTAATTGAGAAAACAGCATTAAGATGACCGAGTGACAAATTTTCATTTAATGTAGAATCTCTTGTGCTGTGGAACAGCTTCTGCTCTGTTTGACATCTCTACCTCAGAGAAGGCTCTGTCCTGAGAACAACCTTTAAGTGTCTGTTTATTTTAGTATAAATGATTTCAGAGTGACTTCAGTGGGGACTGTAAATATTGAAGTATACTTAAAATGCTGTCCTAAGTAGAGCTGATCTTAACTATTTTTAAAGGTTTTCCTAAGTACTTGAGAAATTAGAACAGAAGTGCTGTATCTTGTCGTAGCCAGAGATTTTTCAGACAAATTTCCTCCTGCTATCTGGCAGGAGAACACCTCGAAGCCATAACACAAAGGGGCTTTGCTTGTGTGTAGATTACCTAATTTCTTCAGACCACTCTCCACCTCTGTGAGCTTTTCTGTGTATCTTCTGTGGGACGTTTCCAGGCCACCTGTCACATTGTCCATTTTTTCTACAACTAGGGGAAAGAAAACCGTATGTTATGGAAAGAAGAAAAGTGAAATAATGAAAAAAGTCTAGTAAACAATAAAGCAAACAAAAAAAATCCACTGCTACCATCAAACAAAAAAGGAAACCACCTTAAAATTGCCTTGCTTGCCACTGCACTCTGCTGTTGCTCTGTGAAATGTCGGAAGGATGAGCTTTCAGTAAAAATTGCCACCTAGATAGCAAACTTTGGACTGAGATAGCAGTTTGAAGATGCAATTACTAAATGTGTTGGGGATCAACTTTTAAACGTCTTGATAATGGTACAGATCACTGAAAATGGTTCTGCCTCATTAAGATCGAAAGGATGATCATTCAGCAAGTGCAGATTTATGGCTGGTGTGCTCTTTATTTTGTAATGTCTGAGTCATTTTCTTGTCACTGAGGCAATCCGATTATTTGATGGAATTGATATGGAAACGGAAAAAGCAGAGTGAGATCTAAAGAGGCCGGGGTGGCTTCCAGTGGCAAAAATGTGAAATGCTTGCAAGGTTAGAGGCAGCCTCCACCTTCCACACTAAACTTTGTCTAATAGGCTTTGGCACTCAAGCCACAACCAGGGGCAGAAATTTCTTCTCACCATGAGATTATTTAGCCCTTTTGCTACACTGGGAGCAGGATGGATCTGAACCAACCCTGGGAGAGGCTACAGGAGTTATTGTGCCAGGTTCCTCTTTCATACCGAAGAAATAAGGTGCTTCCCGTGTCTTGAGACAATGAAACCAATTCTGTAAACCTGTGCGGGGTGGGGGGTACCACTAACTGTCTGTCTGTGAGATAACCTGCAGCTAGCAAATAACCTCATAGAAGTTGTTGCTATGTAAAGATTTTTTTTTTACTAGAGGTTGAAATTTAGGGGATCTTTTGCTGCTTGTGAGCAAGCACAAGAATCTCAGACCTTTAACGTGTAGTCCACCAAGTGCTCCTTCTTTAGTAACTTTTTTCCTTGTTTTTCTGACTCTGGGTGGCACAGTTACACAGCAGGCTTTTATTGCTTCCCCAAAACCAAGAGGAGCAAAAGCAGACCAAGATTATCTCTGGTGCAACTGCACTGAGGTAAATGGAGTTACAACAGAGAAAAAGTCTCAAGGTTTTCAGAGAGACCAGACACCCTTTGGTGAATTATGTACCTGCTCCTTTCTATACTGCTAACAAGCCAGTAAAACAGAGACTCTACTATGTACGCAAAGATAGAGACAGAGTGTGGCTTTCTGTATTGGAGATGATGGCAGATTGATTGCTAAACACCAGATCCAGGCTACAATAATGGCTTTGCTTTTTCAGGGGGACCATTGCTCAATACCTGCTGCTTTAGAAAGCAGTTTTCCCCCCAAATTACACTAATTTTTCACTGGGTCTTCTGTCCATTAAAGTTACTTCTCAAAATGCTGTATGCCATTTTTCCTAAATGAAAGCAAAGTTGAATCTCTGTTTGTTCCAGGCTGGAGCCCAGATCAGCAAAGGTCCTTCCGTTACTTCTGACACTCCACCGATGCATGTATACACCTATGCATCACATGCAGTGAGCGTGGGGACCACACTTGGCTTTTCCTTCTGGCTAGCTGTAGGCAGCTCCTTCTCCAGTCTGTGGTGTTCTGCTTTGTTTATGGATAGTCACTGTGAAGGACATGGCTCAGTCTGGGCACTTAGGGAGGGTCTCCTGAAAGCATCTGGATTTAAAAAGCAGGCCTACTCCAAGTGTTTCTGATGGACCTGTGCCTTGACTAGCAATGTCGCATCACCTATGGGTCTTGTTTATTCAGATTTAGTGTAATATGCACCTGTTTTCTCCAGTTATGCAATACACTTGGAGTTGGCAAATGAATATATATTATCAGTAACGAAAGGAAAATGTAGTTTCTTGCTTTTGCTTTTCAAATGAATGCCAGTTTGTGCTTCAGATCTGAAGTTTGTGAAACTGAGATTTTACACTGCCCTATAACAACAAGAATGTTTTCTCGGTTTAATGAAATCTAACACTGGAAACTTGGGTTAAAATATTCCCCTGAAGAGTCCAAAGCAAATGAAAATAGTAGAAATCCTACCAATATGTAGTAGCCTGTACTGGCAGTTAGATGAGATTCGATGGACTTAAAGATACAACAGCATACGGTATTTTCATTGCCAAAAGTAAAAAAAAACAACCACCACCTCATACCAAAAAGACTGAAGCTGGTCTGTAGCTATGGACATTCATTCAAAAAATTGTTGAAGCAGGAATTTAATCAGAAGCCTTACTGGTATTGTTGACAATTGGCCATGATATGTGGGGAAGACCGTGCCTGGACTGTGTCTGAAAGATCACTAATGAGCACTGTTAAAAGGTCTTTCAGTCCCCAGCAGCTTGTCTCCTCCAGAAAGTAATAGCTTTTAATTCTAGCGTGTAACTGGATGCCAGACAGCAGCCCTGGATCGAGAGAGCCGACACGAGGCTTAGCTGGAAGATGCTGGTTTAGAGACTCTGGAAAGAGAAGGCTGCTTTCAAATACACAAGGTATTGATTTTTGTCTATTTGATACTAAACTGGTGATGACTTACCCAGCTTAACTGATGCAAAGTGCAGATTTAGCTATATCAGGCAAACCATTTCTTTTATTTTAATTCTGTTTCCCCTCAGAGGGCAAGTCAGTCCTGTCGTGTGAAGTGTAGAGGAGAGAGGCCAGAGCCAAGTTCAAACTACCCAGCTCCAGCAGCAGAAACAGTAGAGATCTCTGCAAACGTGAACTGCAGGGTTAGCTCAAGGCTTCCCAGTGATGCAGGCTACGCTGAATTTTGTCATCCCATAGACAAACCAATGCATATACTTGCTTTACAAGGGGGCAGGATCTTAGCCTCTGTGGTCAAACAAATGGTGGGCCTGGGGGACTTGATCTCCTGCCCAAACTCCTTCCCCAAGCAAGCTGTAGCTCATTTACGTTCTTGCTACTGCCCTGCAAGTGGAAAGGATGAACTGTGGGGAGAGCAAGAAGAGACCTGTGGCCAAAGTAGGTTTTATTGCTCTTGCTGTCAAAAGGGGTCACATGGATGACATCCTATTATTGGGAATGCCTCTCCTTCCCTGGCAGTAGCACCCACCGCCATCTCTGGGTGGAGCCTTCAGTGGTGGGTATGCATGTGGAGCACTCTGAGGAGTGGAAGTCAACCTCTGGGGAGTGCCCTGGGCTTGAACAGCCACTTCCCATCTTCTCCAGAAAAAGGCAAAGGCAAACTGGCCAGACCAGTTGTAATATCCTTTATGACGGCTACTCTGCTGCTCTCAACAGTCTGCTGCTCTCAAAAATGCCCTAAGCTTGCTTTTGGATAGCTTCACCTTAATTCTCAGCTGGGTCAGATCTCTCAACATTGTCATCTCACTTTCTGATAAGGTCACTGTGGAAAATGTGGTAAAGATCCTCCAAAAGAAGCCACAATTTCAAGTAGTTGCTGACCGGAACAGTGAGGACTGTCTGCATCTGAGCCACTATTTCAGAAACAGGGACAAAATGTGCCATCTCACGAGGAGGTGTTGGCCCTAGGTAATGGCAGGCAAGCTATGTCTGGGAGACAGATAAAAGAAGTAGATGAAAGTCATGGTGGGCATTAGTCAAGAAACTTCAAAATACAGACTGATCAGAGAATGAGAACTACCAGAAATTCAAGCTGAGATTCATGCTAACATCCCTCACTGGAGTGAGTTACAGGAAGATCATTCACCCTAAACGGGCTAATCTGACACTGGCTGGTGCTGGAAGAATTATAACTTTGTATTTTGCATTTAATCTAAGGAAGTATCCATAAAAAATTACAAATTGCTTTATTAATGTTTTTAACAATAATTTACTATGTCTTCTCAAAGCAAACTAATAGTAAACTCGGCTCATTATTCCTTCATGACCTTGATGTTTAATTCATGTTTTGGTTTCAGGTTTCTCCAATCTACTATGTAATTTTTACCACCAGTTTGGAGGTTTGTTCTATGTTGACTTTGCCTCCCATTGAGTTATTTTTTTGCCTGCCATATTTAATCCACTGATTAGTAGTTTTAAAGTTTTAAATCATAAAGGATATCTAAATACCATGTAGGAAATGAAAGTTTTAAAAGTAGTTTTGGGCTTTATAAACATAAGTGTGGGAGGCAAATTTAATGGAAACTCAGCTAAGAGACTGAAAGAATCCCTGATGCCAGCAGAATTCCTTCTTTCAGTGTAACATTGCAACAAAAAAGACAAAGCCAAACTCTGTTGCAGAGAGGAGAGTTCAAGAGCTCTATAAAATTTTGAGCTTTGTTCTTCCTTTAAGGCCCAATTCCTTCCCAACGATCAAAAATATTGCAAAAATTCCTTTGAATATGTACCGTCAGCTGGGGTTTTGTCTAATTCATGTTTTCCCTGAAAATTAGAGCTTAGGCACTGTGGAGACGAAGCTCTTAAGCTGCAGGTACAAAGGGTGAAATGAATGCCTGACATATGACCATCTGCCGCTTGGCGTTACAGAAGGGATACCTTGGACTAAACAGGACTTTTCTCCAGCGTATGCCTCTTTCCC